TTCTTCTTCTTCTTCTTCTTCTTCTTCTTCTTCTTCTTCTTCTTCTTTATAATGCTTGTCCAAGACTATGTTGCCCCAGGCATTTAGTACCAGCGCTTTTTAAAGTTAGCAGTAACAGCATGCTGGGCTCTGAGCAGGTGAGAGAGACTTTGCTGGGGACGGCTACCGCCATCGATCTTCGTCTCTTTGGCACAGCTAGGGACCTTGTATGTACAGGTGCTTGACAAATTGTGAAAGGATTAAATTACACATCGGCTGCCATTTCAGCCACTGAGTGTCAGCAGGAAGTACAGAGGGAGGTCGTGAAGCATTGCCAAAGAAAAGAAAAGTGCACAGTCCACAGCAGTTCATCCAGGGCGGGCTCTGTGGTGGTGTAACAACGCTGTGGAGGGAAGCCCCAGACTCAGAGTGCCCTTGGGTTCATGCTAGCAGCCAGGTTCTGCAGCACATCCCTGCAATGTGTCTAGGAGGTGTTTGTGGGGCAATGCCAGAGCTTATTCATTTATCCTGAGACCATGTCCAGTGTCTTGGTTACAGTTTCTAAGCTGTGGTTAAACAATCTGACCAAGAGCAACTCAAGGAGAAAAGGATTCGTTTCTCTTGGAACTCTCAGGTCACACTCCACTACAAAGAGAACTGAAGCAGAGGGCACGGGGGAACACTGCTCACTGGCTTGCCCCTCATGCCTTGCTCAACCTGTGTTTCTTGTACCACACAGTATGGACCACCCAGAGGTGGCATTGTCCTGACGGGCTGGGGCTGGGCCCTCCCACATCAATCATCAATCAAAAAAAGAAGTGCCCACCAAAAAAACAAACAAATAAAATACTCCACAGATTTGCCTACAGGCCAGTTTCTCAATTGAGATTCTGTCTTCCCAGGTACCTCTAGGTTTGTGTCAAATTGACACATCCAGAATTGAATTGAAATATGCTCTGGCAATGCTGGGGCATGCATGGGCAGCCCATATAGGGTGGTTCTGTTAAACTGTCTATATTGAATTTCATGGTCTGTTGATGAGGATGATTGACCAGGTCTCTTCATCAAGAGGGCGCCAGATCCCATTACAGATGGTTGTGAGCTACCATGTGATTGCTGGGAATTGAACTCAGGACCTTTGAAAGAACAGACAGTGCTCTTAACCACTGAGCCATCCTCCAGCCCATCCATGCTAGCCCTAAATTCATGCTCCACCTGCCCCTGCCTCACAAGTGCTGGGATTAAAAGTATGCACCATCACTGGGCATGAAGTTTTACAGTTTCACAAAACAAAGGAAGTCATCAACTTAGGCAAGTTTAAAACACATGGGTGGGTACAGCAAGACGGGAGAGCTTTTCTGTGGGCCTCGTAAGCCACCTGATAGTGTCCTTCAGCTTTGGGGGTGGTGAAAGCTGGTGGCCTCCTAAGTCAATAGATTCCAAAAGTTTTTCTCTATTAGTTACGGGATGTTACCTCTGACACAGAGGCAGTAAAGGAGAGGCTATCCCGGGGACTAGAGCTAGTGCAGGGACTGCCTCTGGACCCTAGCTATGTATGGCATTCTAACCTCACCACACCGCTGTGGTTCTGATCAGCTAACCCGTGTAGACGCAGCTCCTCAGCTAACCCATGTAGACGCAGCTCCTATC